CTCTAAAACAAATAGGTGGGCACTTTCCCCTGTGTTTGACATTCATATTCAATGAGAAACTGACCAACTATGAATCTTACTCCTCATCCTAATAAAAATCTGCTATCATTTAAAAAAAAAAAAAAAAAAAAAAAAAAAAAAAAGCACCATAAATGACAAAAGACTTTGTAAGCACAGTTTTCGTTTTTATGTGCAATATCATGCACAATAAAGCACCTACTGAAAAATCCCAACCTGGCCAACAAATAGCATCTTACAAATTTTTTCTGCTTCTCAACTGCAATAATTGTTTTAGGTCTGTTCTTCTATACATTTTCTTTACTTAACCAGTTCAGTTCTAGAGAAAAAAATTCTTTTTTTTAAGAGTTACTGTAACTAGGAGCTAAAAAAATATTGCTTTCACTGACATTTATGGCGGTATGTCACATGTGTGGTGTGACTGCGGTTTATACACCTGTGCAACCTGGGTGTGCGTTTGCACACGTATGCAGGGCAATTGGGGTTACAGCCATTTTTTTAATTTTAACAACGTTTTTATTTATTTATTTTTACTTGATTGCTATTACAAAGAGTTAATAAACCTCCATGCGATAGCATTGGGCAGGTGACAGGTACTCGTTCTGGAGACATTAGGGATCAATGTCTCCCCTGCCCTTCACAGCACCTAACTGATCAGCTTGATTAGATGTGTCTCCTGGTTGTACCGTCCAGGAAATGGGGGATATGAAACCTGAAGTGATGAAATAATCGTCACTTCCATTCTTTACATGTGAGACTGAGGCATGAATTTGCTTCTGTCTCACATTGCTCTTCCCCCTAAAGCCAGTGGTTGTGGCCCTGGTCGTCTGGTAAGAGTGAGATAGCCCAATAATCATGGATGGAGGAGGAGGTGCTGGCTTGGGCTGTGGGGGGCACCGCACTGCTGGCTCTGCATACGATTGGCAGCTAGAGAGCCGCTATTGCATCACTTTTAAGCTGAGAGCTGACTGAAGAAAACTCGCACAAGCTGACGGCTACTACAAAAGCCATCAGCTTGTGATTGAAGGTTCACTATAAGGTTTGCTAAATAGAAGGGAAGATGGGAACACGTTCACAATTCAATAGGAACAGTAGTGGCTCATGCTGGATAGACATCATTTATTAATGCAAGAATGCAGCAGTAAGCACTAAAACATACTGGGGAGGGGGAGGCTTGGTGGGGTTCAATAAAAGGAGACCAACTCTCTTTTGGCGTACTGAGAGAAACCGGCTCAGACAAATTTTGCAAAAGTGTCTCACATGCATTCTAAAAAGTGGTGCAGCATGTGTCAAATTCAAGTACAAGCTCTAGACAGGTACCTGAATTTGGTGCATTTTGCACCACTTTTTAGAATACATGAGAAAAAAAAAATCTTTGCAAAATCTGTCTGGGCCAGTCTTTATGAATTACAGAGTTTGTGTCCTAGCTTACCACCATTGTGTGCAGAGGTTCTATAGTTCCATGTGTAACTTAAGAGAATAAAAGATGCATATCGTGTTGTGAAGGACAGTGCGAGTTTGAAATCTTGATTTTTAAAATGTGAAGGCCCCAGAATGTTCCAGAGTGCCATTACAGCCTTCAAGCGGTCAAAGCAAAAAGAATTGAATCAGGGTAATCACGACGGAGAAAACAGGGATAGCAGTAGGGTCATGTAGGATAAGGTCACTGTACGAAAAAGATAGCCCAAGCTCACTCTCATAAGCAGTTTGTTCATTCCACCATATAAAAAGGTACATAACTGTTGCGTAATTAAGGAGCATCTTCACCAGATATCTACAAGAGTGCCAACCTGCTTTTGGATACGGTCAACATAGATTTGAGTTGGTTGGGGAGATTTAAAAGCAGTCTAAGGGGATCTGTACCAGCAAATGAGGTTGAAGTTCCTCTCTTGAACAGCACTAGCTATACATAGTTTGGGGATGAGAATAAAGAATTTCAATTTGGCATTTTCTGTAAGAGATGTATTCAATTCTACCTTACCCCATTTCCCTATGCAGTAGACATCGTGAGTCTGTATTTTAGAGATTAAAAAATATATATATATATATATATATATATATATATATATATATATATATTAAAAAAAAAAAAAAAAGGGATGTGGTACTGTTGTGGATATTTCCTGACAGACATACACTATATTGCCAAAAGTATTGGGACACCTGCCTTTACAAGAACATGAACTTTAATGGCATCCCAGTCTTAGTCCGTAGGTTTCAATATTGAGTTGGCCCACTTTTGCAGCTATAACACCTTCAACTCTTGTGGGAAAGCCGTCCACAAGGTTTAGGAGTGTGTCTATGGGAATGCTTCACCATTCTTCTAGAAGCACATTTGTGAGGTCAAGCACTGATGTCGTGCGAGAAGGACTGGCTCGCAGTCTGTGCTTCAATTCATCCCAAAGGAGTTCTACTGGGTTGAGGTCAGGACTCTGTGCAGGCCAGTCATGTTCCTTCACCCCAAACTCGCTCATCCATGTCTTTATGGACCTTGCTGTGTGCAGTCATGCTGGAACAGAAAGAGGCCATTCCCAAACTGTTCCCACAAAGTTGGCAGCATGAAATTGTCCAAAATGTCTTGGTATGCTGACGCCTTAAAGCGGTTCTAAAGGCTCAAGGTTTTTTACCTTCATGCATTCTATTCATGAAGGTAATAAACCTTCTGTGTGCAGCGGTGCCCCCAGCCCCCTCAATACCTTAGCCCCATCGTGATCCATTGATGTGCACAACAGCCTCGGCTGTCCCAGGTCTCTGCCTTCTCATTGGCTGAGATAGCAAGCGGGAGACTGTCAATCATGGCCAGTCAGCCAATGAGAGAGAGGGGGCAGGGCCAAGCCATGGCTCCGTGTGTGAATGGATGCCCCCATAGCAAGCTGCTTGCTATGGGGGTATCCGACAGGAGGAGCTAGGAGAGCCTGTAAGGGACCCAAGAAGAGGAGAATCCAGGCTGCTCTGTACAAAACCACTCCACAGAGCAGGTAAGTATAACAGATTTGTTATTGCACAGCAAAAACAAAAATGAACCTTTAGGATCACTTTAAGAGTATACTTCGGTGGAACTAAGGGGCCAAGCCCAACCCTGAAAAACAACCCCACACTATAATCCCCCCCCCCTCCACCAAAACTTTATACTTGGCACAATTCAGTCAGGCAAGTACCATTTACCTGGCAACTGCCAAAACCAGACATGTCCATCGGATTGCCAGACAGAGAAGCATGATTTGTCACTCAAGAGAATAGGTCTCCACTGCTCTAGAGCCCAGTGGCAGCGTGCTTTACACCACTGCATCTGACGACTTGCATTGCACTTGGTGATGTAAGGCTTGGATGCAGCTGCTCGGCCATGGAAACCCATTCTATGAAGCTCTCTACGCACTGTTGTGCTAATCTGAAGGCCACGCGACATTTGGGGGTCTTTAGCTATTGACTCTGCAGACAGTTAGCAACTTCTGCGCTCTGTAAGGCTCCAGCATGCGCTGACCCCGTTCTGTCATTGTACTTAGCCTACTGCTTCGTGGCTGAGTTGCTGTTCCCAGTTGCTTCCACTTTGCTATAATACCACTAACAGTTGACTGAGGAAAATTTTGTAGCAAGGAAATATCATGGGTGGACTTATTGCACAGGTGGCAACCTATCACGGTACCATGCTTGTATTCACTGAGATCCTGAGAGCAACCCATTCTTTCCCAAAATGTCTGTAGAAGCAGTCTGCATGCCTAGGTGCTTGATTTTATGCACATATGGCCATGAAGGTGATTGAAATACCTGAATCCAATTTGTTTTGGAGGGGTGTCCCAATAATTGTGGCAATATAGTGTGTGTGTTCAAAAGGGAGTGGGTGTTCGGTGTAATTGTTTATGATGGGAGATGGTTTTGACAAGGTGAGTAAGCTGCAATTACTGGAGTAGTGCACTCCTGGGTGGATTTTCTGGTTGGAATAAATGGGAAAAGTGTGAACAGTACTTCACTGCAGACTGAGAGAGGTAAGAGCATAGAAAGATGTGTTTCAGAATGCATTGATTCGCATGATATGTAAAATAACACTGGATTCTATTGTGGCCGTTCAAATGTATGTGGTGCACCTGCAGTACGAATTTAAAAAGAGTCCTGTGCGTTTTCTGAGATGTGTAGTGCGGGTCTGGTTCAAATTACAGGCTCACTGACTTAAATGGGAACGCTTGAACACAATTTGAGCCTTGCCAATTCGCATCAGAACTGCATCTAAATCGCACCTTAACCACTGAACAACTTATTTGGTAATTCGCACTGAAAACGGACCTGAAATACGCACCGCACATGTGTGAACCCAGGCTAAAATAGGAGTGAGAGGGCCATAATAAGGGGAAGTTGGATAGTGGTTATAGCCTCTGTTCTTATTTTTTGAGGGTTAAAAGGATAAGTTCACCTTTTGGACAAAAATAATAAATGCACATTTTTTTTTTGCAGGTAAGCATGGAAAGCATTTTCCAGGGCCTGGAAAGCATTACACCAGTAGATCGCTGATGCCATGCAGGTCTCCTGCAGACCTGTCAGAATATCTGCTTGCCATGCAAGGATGTACGGACAAGCAGATATTCTGACAGGAAACTTGAATGAACTACCACGGCGCTCCACAGAACCGTGGTAATTGATTGAAAACTACAAGCCCACAGCCACTAAGGCTGTTGGGACTTGCAGTTCATGCATTCATGGAAGTCCATGAATGAATGATGCAGCCATGTGAGTGGAGCCCCATACAGCTGTGCAGTTTTCAAATCTGACAGATCGTAAGAGGAGACTTCTCCCCATATTATCTGTCAGAGGGAGGAGCAGCGGTGCGGCTGCACCAATGGGAACATGTTACATGTTCCACCCTAAAAACGGGTGGAACATGTAACATGTTCCCAAAGGTGAACTTATCCTTTAAGCAAGGGATTTCAATAAACGTAACAGGTACATGGCTGAATCAAGAAAATGTCTGTTTATGATACACTAGACTTTACCGTACGAAAGTTTGGTTGGCAGTGCTGTTCAAGCCATCCTGAATAAATGGATAGTGATCTGTTGGTTGTTAAGTCTTCACATGCAAAGCCCATACTCTCCGCAAACAAGGATGCTGAAATCAATATAATGCACAAGTTACTGTCTGGTTTTAATTGCCATAATCTTGCTATTTTTCTTACTCAAAAGTATTTTTTAAAACTACCAGTTAGCAAAATTAAACTCAAAATGTCCTTTAAAATATCCTTTATTGTCCTTTATTGAGCAACAAAAAGTGTCTTCTAAAATCACTGCAAACCTCGGTCAAATTTTATAATGATCAGAAGAATCCCATTAGAAAATGCAATTACTATTCAACTCTTCCTAGAGGTACTGGTTGAAATATCACTGAACATCTGTAATATGCTCTTCTAGAACTGCACTTGTCTGATATGCTTTATTTTTCAAATAAATTTAAGCATAAGCACAAAAGTGGAACTAAACGTGGAAAAAGCCTATTAGGCCATTAGCCAAGAAGCTCTACTTCTTGTTTCTTGAAGATTCATTTTCTTTTTGCAAGTCTTTTAATAACAACACAAATCCTTTGAAATTGTTTCCTAGATTGTAAGCTCCAAGGAACAGGGCCCTCCTATCCCTCTTGTATTGAACTGTATTGTTGCTGTATTGTCTCCTGTTATATTGTAAAGTGCTGAGCAAACTTTTGGCGCTATATAAATCCTGTATAATAATATTTAAAATTCAGATTCAAATCACTTACCCTTAAGGCTGCTTTCAGACTGATGGAATACGGTTTGACCTCTCCACGGGAGCAGCCCAATATACCTGCAAGTTAACTGCACTTTCACAGAGCTCTATTAGGTCCTGCGGTTTTGAAAGCTCACCAAAACCGCAGAGCCTAACAGAACTCTATGGGAAAGAGCAGCTAACCCTGCGATGCTCCTGCATTGTGGTCAAATCACACGGCATCAGTCTGAAAGCAGGCTAAAGTGCAAGTATAGTTTATCCCTAGTGAACATATACAGTTGCAAGAAAAAGTATGTGAACCCTTTGGGATTACACAGAGTTTTGCATGAATTTGGCATAAAATGTGCTCTGAACATCATCTAAGTCACAACAATAGAAGAACACAGTCTGCTGAACATAATACTACACAAACATTAGATGTTGCCATGGTTTAATTGCACATAACATGTAAACATTCACAGTGCAGGGAGGAAAAAGTATGTGAACCTTTGGACTTAATAACTGGTTGACCCTCCTTTGGCAGCAATAACCTCAACCAAACGTTTCCTGTAGTTGCAGATCAGACCTGCACAACGATCTGGAGTAATTTTGGACCACTCCTCTTCACAAAACTGTTTCAGTGTAGCAATATTCTTGGGATGTCTGGTGTGAATCTCTCTCTTAAGGTCATGCCACAACATTTCAATCGGGTTGAGGTCAGAACTCTGACTGGGCCACTCCAGAAGGCGTATTCTGTGCTGTTGCAGCCATTGTTTTGTTGAATTACTTGATTGCTTTGGGTCATTGTCCTGTTGCATCACCCATCCTCTGCGGAGCTTCAGTTGGCGGACAGATGGTCGTACATTTTCCTGCAAAATGTCTTGATAAACTCTGGAATTAATTTTCCCATCAATGACAACAATCCGTCCAGGCCCTGAGGCAGCAAAGCAGCCCCAAACCATGATGCTCCCTCCACCATGTTTTACAGTGGGGATGAGGTTTTGATGTTGGTGTGCTGTGCCTTTTTTTCTCCACACATAGTGTTGTGTGTTCTTTCCAAACAACTCAATCTTGGTTTCATCTGTCCACAGTATATTTTGCCAGTAGTGCTGTGGAACATCCAGGTGCTCTTTTGCAAACTTCAAATGTGCTGCAATATTCTTTTTGGACAGCAATGGCTTCTTCCGTGGTGTCCTCCCATGTACTCCATTCTTGTTTAATGTTTTCCTTATTGTAGATGTGTCAACAAAAATGTTAGCATGTGCCAGAGATTTCTGTAGGTCTTTAGCTGACACTCTGGGATTCTTCTTTACCTCATGCAGCATTCTGCACTGTGCTCTTGCAGTCATTTTTACAGGACGACCACGCCTAGGGAGAGTAGCAACAGTGCTAAACTTTCTCCATTTGTAGACAGTCTGTCTTACCGTGGACACACGAACATCAAGGCTTTTGGAGATACTTTTGTAACCCTTTCCAGCTTCATGCAAGTCAACAATTCTTGATTGTAGGTCTTCTGAGAGCTCTTTTTCTGTGAGGCATGGTTCACATCAGACAGTGCTTCTTGAAACCAGTAAACCCAAAACAGGTGTGTGTTTTTTTTAAGGGCAGGACAGCTGTCAGTAACACATCCAATATCATCACACTGCTTGGAGTCAAGGTTGGCTCACTCCTGGCTCCAATTAGCTCTGGGAGAAGTCATTAAGCTAGGGCCTCACATACTTTTTCCTCCCTGCACTGTGAATGTTTACATGTTATGTGCAATTAAACCATGGCAACATCTAATGTTTGTGTAGTATTATGATCAGCAGACTGTGTTCTTCTATTGTTGTGACAGATGACGTTCAGAGCACATTTTATGCCCAATTCATGCAACACTCCACGTAATCCCAAGGGGTTCACATACTTTTTCTTGCAACTGTACTTTTTCTTGCAACTGTACTTTAAAGTGGAGTTCCAGACGTTTTTGTGTTTATTAAAAGTCAGCAGCTACAAAAACTGTAGCTGCTGACTTTTAATAAAATAAGTCCAGCGATGTTCTCACCTGCGCCGTCCCTTCTCACCTCCACGGCGCTGGCATCTCAACTGTGGGCACCACACTGTTACAGATTGTGGCTCGACAGCCTGGTGCCCACTGCGCACATGCGAGCCACACTGCACCTCCTAATTGGTTTGGCAGTCTCCTGGGACCTCTGAAAGTTCCCAGGAAACTGCAGTATTGAGGAGGGGGCCGAACTTCTGGCTCAATTCACCGTGGCAAACTGAGCGGGTACCTATCAAAACTAGGTTCCCACTCCCCCATCCCCCCAAAAGGTGGCAAATATGGCAGTGGGGGGGGGCGGGGCATGGGAGTCAAATAAGCAGAACCTTCGCTTTTGATTGGAACTCCGCTTTAAGAAAATACTGCAGTGTTTACCTCAAAAGTCATTTTTTATGTTCAATAGTTTTTATTGAAAAGATTGTCAAAACAAAGTATCTCAATACGGTTCATACATAAATAGCAATACAGAATAATGTGCTGGGGGCAATATTTAAGTATGTCACAGACATGAGAGGTATGTTGTGTTTGATCTGAACCGTGATGAGGTGGGTAGGTTATCTTGAGGGGGAAAGATATAGGAATGTAGTAGATGGTGGGGGAGTGCACCAGTCTAGGGGTGGGAGTCTTGGTAGTTAGATTATCAGGATTTTACAGAACAATTTGGGTTTTTTAGCCAAAGATATCATTGAAATTTAAATGAGAGATAGGTGGAGTTATTCAGGGCTGATCTTCTTTCCATCTTCTTTACATTGGAAGTTAAGGTCTGTTATCAGTGAGTTGAGGGAGGGGATTGTAGAAGTATTCCACAATTTGGTAATATTAGCTTGGCTGCCGCTAATGCGTGGATAATGAGGGTTTGAGAGTCTTTCGGGAAATTATCAATTCCAATGTGGAGGAGGGCTAAAGCGGGGTTTAGGGGTTATTGAGGTTAATAATGTTGAGAGCAGATGGAAGACGTTATTCCAGAAAGATCTGACTGATTTACACGTCCATAATATATGGAGTGTAGAGTCTGTTTCACCACATTGTCTCCAGCAAGAGTGGGAATGTTGTGGGTAGTATAGCGATAGTTTGACAGGTGTTAAGTACCATTGGTGTAAAATGTTCATGTATGATTCCCAATGGGAACTGCATTTAGAAGCTTTATAGGTTATTTTAAAGGATTTTTCCCAAGTTTTTGGTGTTATTGTTTGTGAGAGAATTTTCTCCCAATTGATTAGAGAAGTAGTTTGTAGGGTGAATTGTGTATTGTGTGCGTGTAGAAAGTTGAGATACCTTTTCTTGGGTATTTTGTTTTGTTGAAAAAATGGTATGCGGGTGTAGGAATATTTGAGAGAAGCGGGATATTTGCTGTTTGTAGGGAGTGAGCTATTCTCAGGTAGGTGAAATATTCAGTGTTGGGTAAGTTAAATTTCTTTTGTAAAGTCGGAAAAGAATCCAATTTACGATCTGTGAAGAGGTCTTGTATATTAGATAACCCACATTTGTCCCACTGTAGCAGGTTTAAGGAGGGCGTAGTGAAGTGTAGTGTATTGAGCAGGGTAGGTATCTGTTTGGTATCTGCAGTATAAGACGAATAGAGATCATACCAAGCTTGAAGGGAAGCCTTAATACATGGATGTTTGAGTAAGATTTTAGTTTGGGGCATTTGTGGTAGGAAAAGTATGTTACGTGGAACTAGTGGGAAAAGTGGGCGTGTTTCCATGATGGACCAAGATTTTTCTTCAGTGGGATGCCACCAAAAATACATTTTGTCTAGAAGAGAGGCGTTATAGTATGATTTTAGGTGTGGGAGACCTGCTCCTCCTCTGGATGTTGGACGTATTAAGAGATTTGTGGTACATCTGGGTTTTTTAGAATTCCAGAGGAATTTGGAAAAGATTGCTTGCAATTTAGAGAAGAAAGTATTGGGAATGGGGATGGGGAGTGTGCCGAATATGTATAGAATTTTGGAATGTACATTTTTAGAGTTGCTACTTGTCCTAGTTTGGATAATGTAGCTGTGCGGAGGTTGGTAAGTTCTCGTGGTATGGTTTCAAGTAAGAGTTTGTGATTCGAGGAATATAACTGGTCTGTGGTAGCAGTGAGCTTGATCCCTAGATAAGGGCTGTTGTGTTGTTCCCAAGAAAATGGAAATTGTTTGGCTAGTATTGTTCGGGTCTGTATAGGTGTATGAAGGTTTAGGACAGAGGATTTGGTTTCATTGAGTTTATAATAGGAGACTTCCGAATAATGTTGAAGGTGTGAGCGGATTGTCTGTAGCGATTTGTGTGGGTTAGTAATCATTAGTATAATATCGTCTGCGAATAAGCTGATTTTATGTTCTGTTTTCGT